CGCAACTCATATCTCAGAAGAAAGAAATTCAAGTGGTTTTCTCCAGGAAAAACTTTAGGACCTAGAACCGGTACTGCGGAATGGAAAAGATTGGTATAGAGCTCTTCCGTCATCAATTCCATATCGTAATGAGAAGTTTTGGTGATCTCATATCCATTGATCAGGGCTAATAGCGGAATATTATGACCGCAAAAGTGTCGGTGGCACATTTTTAATATGGCTTTTTGTACTGCTTCTAACAGTTTTCTTTGCTTGCACCGATGTAGGTTTCTTGTGGGGCAAAGCTTTAGTTTCTTTTTCGAGGTACTCCTAAGTCCTAATGGATGTGCAATTTGATCTTTCTTGGGAAAGCGAGAATTCGGTACAACTTCTAAGTCCTTCGACAAACAGCTTTTAATGTTCGGTCGGGTCTTCCATAATCTGCCTGTCACGTTTGGACAGGGTTTTGTTTAGAATGTTTTTGTCATAGGCAGCTAGACTGCAACTTCGTAGTCGATGACATAGATTTTTCTCCAACTTACAACTGAATCGAGTCTCGACGCGAAGAAGTCGGTGGGCAGAACCACCACAGATTTATGGGACTACTGATATGGCAAAGACTGGGTGTGGCGCAGTGGTCGAAGCTGCCTCGCGACACGCACGTGGGATTGATCTGTGCGCCCGTAGCTCACCAAGCCTTCCATCTCTCCAGAGTTGGCAAATTGATACCTGACTTGTTTGGGAGGATAGCAGCACTGACTCCATACATCGGTAGGCCTCCGCGACTCATTGTAAAGACGAGATATGCATTCAGTCACCGCCAACGATACTCAATAAAGTCGAAGCGGATAGCGTATCCCTCAGGGTTTGATCAACGCTGACAGTTTTACGCTTTAACTTTATCCTTTTGCTTATATAGTAAGTGGGGCCATCTTCTGTTTGTCAGAAAATGGTCGCTCTCTGCAAAAGTCGTGGTCTTAGCAGAATTCCATGTCCAGCGGCGGCTTTCTTTTTTCTGGACAAAATGAGTTTCCATGCTTTCTTTAGATAGAAGTCCTCCAAGATGGTTTCCATTCTCATTTCTTTTTCTTAATCCAAAATTTCCAGTTCTGTATTCGTTCTCGTTGGTCTTTCCTATTCTGGTGTTGCACTCTCTAACAAAAAATTTGTAATACTCTTTATCATTGGGCATAACTCCCTCCAACTGATTATAGAACACATTTATTTCATACTCGCCAGCTGCATCGGTCCGCGAATAGTAATTAATGATAGTGATCTTCCTATGACGCGCTGAACGAAGATGGAGGATGGCTATGCGAGGGAAAAGGGCCTCGTACGAGTTGAGGACATGGACAACGGACGGGTTGAAATCAAAGCCGGGTGGAACCACCCAAATTTCGCACCGTGACCTTTTCTCCGAGGGTGACAAGGGTGCCGTTGTTTATTTGGCGTGTGCCGATTTTCTTATTTTTGTTTCTTGTAGGACGATCACTTGAAATTTGATGCGATCTGCTGCTGCAAGAAAGAGATACAAGTCTTCATGTGAGTGTTCTGACGTTATACGTGCACAGTGAGAAACAACATTTATGGCATGTCGTTGTGTGTTCGTCAGACCCGGTTCCAATGATGCCTGCGCAACCCAGGATTTTCTGGCCTCTCACCTGTCGTTTTAGCACTTGACGTCATAAACGAGAGCACCCAGGGTGCGCTGTGCTGAAACCTGGTCTATTGCTGGTTGTGCAATTTGTTCTTCTCTGGAGACCCTTAACCTTGGAAAGGCATTTTCAGGTCTTCGCTACCATTTGGATCCAAGGGATATCTCTTCGGCAACTACTCTTTCATTCGCTCTTCCTACTAGTTGATTAGGAGACGGCATTCAAACCGAAATCAAAAGTAAAAGTAGGACTGAAAAAATGGCGGAATGCTTAAGAGCGACGTAGAAGGTAAATAATAGAGAAGGTATTTCAAACTAAATTTTTTCAGCGAAAAAAGACATTTGGAAGCAAAATTGGCTGGAATCAGTGCACATGGTTGTTTTCTGATCAAGCTTTAACAGAGTCCTCCTAATATTCTGCTTTTTTAAAGATCACTTTGAGAACAAAACCGAGGGAAACAAAGACGTATGTACCTTCGTGGTTCGACACAGTGCTTCTTCAGTGAGAATAATATGGTACGAAAGTTAGATAAAGATGGATTTGATACTTTTTAAACTTGTTCTTATTTTGTTTGTTCTGCTTTCAAGCCTACTGTTTAGATCCCATATTTCTCACATCCAATTCGTTTCCTCGCATCCATTGACCACGAATATCCTCCAACTTAACGTGTGGCTTCGGTTTCTGCCTGAAGATTTTCATTTCATCTTGAATGTCGTGGAATGCTGGTTGAGCAGTTCTCCCTGGGGTTCTGAGATAGCAGAACTGGAGCGTTCCCGATTGAATTGAGAGTGATTTTTTCTCAGATAAGTCCGTTACCAATTTCGTAACCCTGGAGGATGAGAGCCTTCGTTGACCCCAAGCGAAATAGGAGTAAGTAGCACCATGCTCGTGATGACGGACATCACTTCCACTGTGCTAAGCTCCCATGGATTTGATACAGTTGCATATATTTGAGATAAAGTCTTTTTCGTGGGAAAGACTCATTGCGATAGACGTTCTTCGCAAGACTTAATGTACGGTATTCCCACATTTAACGAAAAAGATATTGAAAGCGATGAGATTTCACCAGTAATTGTGCTTCCTATCACTTTTACACAGCTACAATAATGCTGAGATATTTTCAAATATTGGCATCCTTTTTCCTTCACTGAACGTAATCACCAGCTTCATTAAACGAAGATTTATGTCTGACTATCCCGCTTGTACTTATTCGATTGCTTTTTAGGTACTGCACAAATAAATGTAGGTCTTCTGTCCTCTCTTATTTACTAAAATAAAAAATTTTATCTTGAAGAAAAAGAAAAAAGCCAGCATCGATTGATAAGTTCAGCGAAGCGATTACACATCAAAAATTCCCTCCAGTTCCGACTATTAACAAGAACGAATACTGTGACGTACCTCTCAAAGGTCGATGTGATCACTCAAACTTTTTTCTAACCTATTTCAGAATTTATAGGTCTCAAATGATTATTGAGAAGAAACTCTTTCCAAACTTCTCGTTTCATATTTTTGTAAAGGATGGAGGATAAAGCTCTCCGCATTGATCAATCCTTGATGGATGTGCCATGCATTCGACTTCATTAAGCACCTTTGGAGGTGATTGAATCCATATCTGGCTTTTACAACAAGTCACGGTGGTCTACCGATGTATCGAGCTAGTGCTGCCATCCTCCCAGACAAGTATGACAGCAATTTGCAAACCCCGGAGGGATGGAAGGCTTGGAAGCGGGGATTGATCCCATGAGTACATCAGGGCGCCTCAGACCACTGCGTTGCACACACCTTTTGTATTTTTATAAGTTACTTTATTTTGCTGATTCTAACACTAGAAAAAAGCAGGATTAATAAGATGCTTCGACAATAGCTGATCCTGTCTTCACTGTCTACCGACTCAAGCATGGTAGAAAATTTAACATGATTAAAGTAATCATTTGTACTCGCTTTTTTCTACAGCACTGCACGAAAGAATTAGTTAAAAGAAATTGAAACGTTAATCTAATTGAACGAGTCCGGTTTCGTTCTTGCCCGTTTTAGTTGGATAGATGGGTAGCGTTAGTATCATCGGCTGATTATCTATCGATTAGATTTTTCACCAAATAAACCCTCTAGCTTTTTTTCGAACAATTTTCTCGTGCCTTAAATTTATCCCTACTCTATCTGGACTCTTTAAGAAGTATTTTTCAATACGTTTCCGCCATTTAACCGTTTCCGAAATCTAAAAGATATGTAAGTGAAGAAGCCAGTACTCCTCCTAATAGAAACTTGTTTGCATTAATAATCAACATCAAAATAAAACGTCAGGTCAAAAGATTTGTTCCATTTTTACACGACCTATTTTGTCGTCTACTGTGCTGATCCCAACACTTGTTGCTTCCGTGCCGTTTTCTCGCATCCATGCCGTTGAATTCTTTCTCAAGTCAATTCTCCCTCAAGTCATGAGACAGCCTGGTTAGCGCATTCCCACTCGGATTACAAGAGTGAACTGTTTCCAGAACTAGTTTGATGCCTATTTCCCAACTTCACAGGGATCAGAGGCTTGGTAAAGGCTGAACACGGTCCAGCCACTACTAGGTTCATGATAAACGACATCACTAGCACTGCGCTAGCGATCTACTAGTTCATTGCCATCGCACCTGCTAACTGCCACCCAGCTTAAGAAGTGAACACATCATTTTATATTTAATCTTAAAGATTCATATTTTGCATTTAGAGGCATTAGAGAGCCGAAAGAAGCACGAACAGCTCAGCTTGTAGATGTTCTGATTTTTTGAGTGTACTCCCATCTTCCCTTTATACTACTGACAGTTTACATCCGAATAAAATACAGCTGAGAAATCAATGCCTTTGGTAGAAAATCGAAAACACCGATATAAAGCCGTCCTGAAAATAAGACAACAAGACAATGTGACGAATTGCAAAGTAGAGAAGAATATTCCATGAGAATAATAGTAATACTGGATGATTTCACCTTCAATAAGAAGAAAAAAAACAGTGATACACGTATTACTGTAGTAATGGGCTGGCTGATTCATTTCTATATAAAGTAACTTCAAGGTAAACATGTAAACAATTCTGATGTTTTTTCATGAGTTTATTACTATAACATGAAACCTCTGCAGATTTTTCTTTCCAGTTACGTTATCTTCTCCATACATGAACAGAAATAAAAATGAATGAATGAATGGATGAATGAACGAATGAATGAATGAAGAAAAGAATAATATCATATCATAAACGAGTTCTTTAACTCTAACTTATCATACCTTAAAAGTAGAAACAATAGAAGAAAAAAAACGAAAAAGGCAGTGATGAAATCAACTACAGAAAATGTCCGTGGACATGAAAATATGAAAACATAAGAACAAATTAGAGCAAACAACCAAAATACTCGTTTATTTTCAATGGATATTCTTGTAGAACACGATATTTCTTAACGTTGTAAACCTAAAAAGATACGAGAACTACGCAACGTTACAAAACTTACAGTTAAGAACAAAATGTTTATAACTCTTAACTAAGGCATAAATCAAGTTTTCTTTAGCAAAGATTCCTAGCGAGACAAAAGTACATGGTAACCGGCCTTGAAATTCGTTCCTACCCTTTTTAATTTCATCAAAATAAGAGTCAAGAACTAACCTTAACAGTGTTACGTTTTGTAAACATTAACATCGTACTGCCTCCAGTATAGACTATTCCAAGCAAATCCTTCGGTAATTTTGGGAAATACCTTAAAAAAGCACTGCTGAGTACTTCGGACCAATAACAACCATGAAGTCAGTAGAGTTTTATAAATTTGCAAAAAGAAACACTTATGGTAGGAGATACCTCTTTGTAAGTCCTGCAAATGTGGCCATATTCCAGTAAGCGTCATATATGACGAATTTATCACCCTGAAGTGAACTTCTTGATCCAATTATAACTAACCAACCTTGTTGGCACGAAAAGAAAAATTAACCAGGAGCAGTCGAGCATTTAACGAGCCTTAAAATCTAACGAATAGAACAAATGGATGAAGAGATCGGCTTTGATCAATTCCCTAGAGATACGTCATTCGTTCAACTCCATTCGTATAATCTTAGAGGTGACTGAATGCATGCCCACCCTATACAGTAACTCTCTAAAGATATACTAATTCATTAATTTCATTCTTTTAAAGAGTGTGATAGCATTTTGTTAATAATAGATCCATGGGAGCACGGTTCAACCGGGAGACGTAATCGAACCAACAACCCTATGCATATTGCACATCACATCTAAACACTGCTATACGCGCTTTAAACAAGTATTGAATAAACAGCCTATTTTTTAGAAATAACTTATTTCCGTTTAGTGGTACTTTTTATTTTTTTATTTTACAGGAGCAGTCTTCACGTCTACTGCGCAGAACTCAGCACTTCTCACATTCGATTCGCTTCCTCGCATCACTATCCACGAAGAACTTCCAACTTTACGTATGGCTTCGGTTGCTGCTTGAGGATTTTCATTTCATTTCGAATGTTGTAGAATGCTGGTCGAGCAATTCTCCCTGAAGTGCTGAGCTAGCCGGGCTGGAGTATTCCCAACTACATCGCAGAGAGTGATTTTTTTCCAGAGAAGTCCGGTACCAAGTTCCCGACGCCGGAGGGATGAGAGACTTCGTTGGCCCGGAGTGGAGTCAAACTAGCACCTTGCTGGTGATGACGGACGTCATTACCACTGTGCCATCCGCCTCTTGTTCAATGTATTAATGAATTTATGGAAGGACCTTAATAACGATTACAATTTTTATCTAATTACCACATGAGCCGAAATCACGTGTGTCACACTATGCAGATCTCAACACTTTTTACATTCCATTCGTTTTCTCTTATTCACTGTCTATGTGATCTTCAAGCGATTTCTTGACGAATGTCGTTGGTTGTTGATTGAATCCAATTTTCTTCGGCGCCCTGAGACAGCCGGTGTGGAGCGTTCCTGTCTGGATTGGAGGTGAGCGGGATCCAGATAAGTCTGGCACAAGTTTCGCGACCCCAACGGGATGATAGGTTTGGTGAGCCCGAAGTCGTATCGTACCAGCGCCTGGGCAGGTTGGGCCATCGGCGCAACGAACAAGATCAGTATCACTACTGTGCTAACTGCTCCATGATGTTTACAATACACGTCATAAATTTTGCTTTACCGAGAGGAGAATTTGATTTCCGTCCATCCATTCAAACGCTGTTTGCGGCGTAATGGTAATATTTGGTGGAAAATGCTGTGGTGTATTGCGTGCCAGCTGAAAATAGATTCATAAATTAATAGCAATAATTTTTAATATTATTTATATCAATTAATATAAATTTCTTTCGACATGTTTATACAGACATTTCTAGGCGTTGATGTGAACCTATATATATACATATATATATGCATGTTTATATATATGCATATATACATGTATGTGTATAAGTATACACGCATATTCGCCTATGTACTCATCTATAGCTACCTTTGCAAGACAGCTGTAATGCTATTGCCATCGCCGAACGCGATAATCCCAAACCTAAAAGGAATTTTCGTAGATATAATTATTGTTGTAAGTTGAGGCGAATGAGAAACTTTCGCTCAACAAATGAACGCTAGCTGGATATGCAGGCAAAGCCGAAGGGTTATAGATTTAGGCTCAGTATGGTTATGGCTTCCTCAGCCTAACGAACTGAAATCTCTGCTATGAAGTTGTGACAGTCTTGTAACACGATGTAAAAAATATTAGAAGAAAGGAAAAATGGATCTATGGTGCTGCCCATAGAGTTCACATTTCTAATAATAAGCTAAGTGTAATAATCTTTCGACAGATACGAAGGTGGAAATTGTGAACGAGCAATTGAAGAAATAACTAGGGTTCTGATAAGTAATCAGACAATACATAATGATGACCTTAGGCGACAAGTTTAACATCATTATGAGCTCTAACAGACCTGGAATCGTTTATGCTTTCTGTTCCAACGAAACCGATAGGCAGTACGTCGATCTATTAGAGTCGTCACTCCAGACCGAGAATTGGTCAACGCTGCAGACACCGATCGCGGACCACCGGGAAAAAGCTCAGTGATCAAGTAAGAGGCCTGAATTGAAATAAAAAAAAATATGGTACAGCAACTGTGTGCCTTTCATCGGAAACCTTGAAAAATTTAATTACTTAATTCACATGAAACTCACCAACGACTCTGTCCATTCACATTAATTAATTGGTGCAGGTCATTTACTTAGTAGCTGATTTATAGCAAGTGATCTGCACTTGTCGAATTCAATTTAGGACTAGCTCAACAAACCGGTAGATAAGACACATAAATAGGAATTATTTGTTTAGACTTTACATATTAACGATCACCTCCCATTTATCAATGACAGAGTCGTTTCTAAGGAGTTTCACCATGTGAGGATTCTTGAGGTGTTCCTCCACAAGCACGCTACTCTTCGGCTGGTGGTGGCCTTTTCTACATGACTCGTCACTTAATTTTCAGATCACAGCGCTTCTTTGTCCAGATCCTATTCCCAGGCAAAACTTGCGCCAATTTCTCGGCACAGAGAGATCAGAACCGTGGCGGGCTTGGAGAGATCGCGAACCAGTGCGTGGTGAGGTTAGGCCGCTGGGCGTAATGGACGGGAACACTGCCAAAGCGCTACTTGGTCTCTCTAGGCGTTTATCGGAAAAATCGATGATGTTACGGAGCATACCTTCTGAGGAAGATCGTCATCGTACCACATCTGATAGACTCGTTCTCTGGCGAAAGCATAAGTGCGACCATTGTATCCTATAAAGATAACTCGTATGAAATGCTGAGATATTTGCAAAACTCCAGACCACAGGTGTATGCAGTGGGGAACGAACACGCGCTGTTGTCCTTACCGGGGAGCAGCGCACTTCACCACTACACCATCCGGGTCATGGTCTTTATTTATTATTATTCTTACTATTTATTAATCCTTATTCTTTATTATTTAATTATTTAAAAAAGCTGTTTTTTGGTCTTCTTCTTCAGCGCGCGATGTTTTCTACGACAGAGCATTTGTTTTCTGCTCCGTTTCTACCTTCAAAATGTCTTCAGATACTAAGCATGATATTATGATTCAGATAGCTGAGTTCTTTTCTGTTAAATACGTCGTCCACTCATACCATCTTCGTTACTTCATGGAAAGAAGAAATCTCAAACACAACCTAATAGAAAAGGAGAACCAACAAATCTTCTAGAAAACTGGTGACGCCGCGAAAGAATGCTAGAACTCTGCACTTGGTAAAGTGATACAAGATTTCAATAATGCTGAGATATTTGCAAAACTCCGGACCGCAGGTATATGCGGTGGGGAACGAACACGCGCTGTTGTCCTTACCGGGGAGCAGCGCACTTCACCACCACACCATCCGGGTCCTTCGTTTTGCCTGTAACTCGAACTAGCTGAGAGACAAACCAAAAAGCATTCAGCTTGAAGAATTCTCATAAGAACCTTGAAATAAACAAGTTCATCAATGTTATAACTACTTAAGAACCCACATTGGTGATGAAACATCAGTATAAAAGATATTTCAGACAAAGCTTTTTTGTTCTATTACCAGTTTACAAGAATACAAACAAGAAAGATTGGAAGAAACCTATAACTACTCAAGGTCTAAACCAAAGAAAAATCGCTGTTGCCGACGAAGTCGGATTTCCATTCAAGGACGGACAATGCAACACTTAAGAAATGCTAGTAAAACGAAAGTGATGATGATATAGAGCTCGACGGATTGGGGAATAAACATAAAACTGATTAAGTTAACGAAAAATAACAAGAAGAGAACAGCTTCAACTAATCAGTTGCCCTAAAACAGTACTGTAGTAGAAAAACCTTCATACTTTGAACAACAATAACAACGGTAGAAATAATTTCTACTTACTTGTCGTCAAAATTTAAAATACTCTAAGAACAATTACAAGCATTCTGAGATATGAGCACAGCCGGTAACCTCAGACGATACTTGAACCTGGGATTACGCTTACTAAAGCTTAAAGTGCTTTCCACCACAAAAACAGAAGTGCTTGCTTTGCCTTTCTCCTAACCTATCAACCAAAAGAATAGAGAGTAAACAAAAGTTTAACACCGCCATTTCAACTGCACCTTCAGCTTAACTGCTTTAAATGCTCATTTAGATGATTGCTGCTAGCACCATTAGTGTGATAACTAGCTGAGAGAAAGGTAAAGCAAGAGCCTTTGTTGGTGGCGGATAACACGTGAGCTTCCAGAAAGTGTAATCACGAGTTTGAAGCGCATCTGATGTTCCCCTCCGTTGGTGTGGTTGACTGCGCTTGAGCCCCAGTAAAGGCAATAGTGGGTTTGAAGCTAACTAAGCTTCACAGCTTTGCTCATATCTCAGCATCCTTGTGGCTGTATTACAGATCACACCATGCCATGAGGGGGGCGCGTGTGACGCAATAGTCGGAGGCGCCCTGCAACACACACAGGAATCGATCCCGGGACCCATTGGGGGGGGGGGGGAACCAAGCCTTCCATCCCTCTGGGGTCGGCAAACTGGTACCAGACTTGTCCGGGAGGATACCAGCACTGGCTCGATACATCGCTAGGCCACGGCGAGTCATTGTAAAGGCCTGGTATGCACCCAATCACCTCCGAACGATGCTTAATGAAGTTGAATGCATGGCGCATCCCTCTGGGATTGGTCAACGGCGAGAGCTTCATCCTTTTTACCATCTCATGAAAAAAGAATGGTAAAACTTTAAGAACATATAAACAATGACAGATTGATACGCGATGTCACAAGTGTTACCGAAGAAAACGGGAAAAACAGGCGACAAGATTATGATTGCGCTTGAAAATGACGCGCATCATGGAACTGAACTATATGTTTATAGAAAATGTGAACGTTCTTTACGTCACCAAGACGATGTGCAATGAAAAGTTTTGACAGTAGTTGACATAAAAACACGTGTAGTTTCTTTTGGGCGATTTATAAACGTAATGGATAATCGCAATTTCAACTTATTATTTACTGTCTGCTCTTTTTTAATGGCAGGGTATATTGCGAAATATAACTTCAATGATGCTGAGATATTTGCAAAACTCCGGACCGCAGGTGTATACGGTGGGAACGAACGCGCTATTGTCCTTTCCGGGACATATTACTTGTTCTTTAAAATCGTAATGGATAATATTAACTCTTTATTTACTCCCACGACCGACTTTCTATTAACCTCGGCATTGATCAAGTAATTCTCCGTATTTTTGTTAAGCAAACGCGAGGTGTTATTATTCTTTATTCACGAATAAGCTGACGTTTCGGCGGATTTCGCCTTCCTCAGAGCCTGGAAAGGACAAGTTTATAGCAATCTACTCGGCCAGACCCCTCCATAACCAAACAAAGAAACTCTAAACCACGATTTCAATCACATTGAACACAGCTTTGCACACTCGCCGCTTTCTATGAGGTTTCCACTAAGTATGTCACATAGAGACCAACCGCACAGAAATCACATGTAAGCATAATGTGCCCCTCCCATCAGAATAGCAGTCTTATATACTGCCCTATATCACGCGTGATAATGAGGCATTCTTCCTTGCGGTTCATTTTCGGATTTCTGCAGTTAATCCAGAATGCCTCGAGAGTTTTTCGCGCCTGTGTTCTTGATTCGCGTGCTAGGATCGTGACAAATACTTCAAAGTCCTCCCCGTTATGTCTCTGGGTCCTATGAGTGCCTAGTGGAGTATTTGGTCTATGTTTGCCGGCTAGGTGTTCTTTTATGCGCACACAGAGAGAAAATACGAAGAATTACTTGATCAATGCCGAGGTTAATAGAAAGTCGGTCGTGGGAGTTACTGCAAGATGTACCAGCATGACTTGTAAAAGAAGCGCTGTCACTAAGACAAAAGATCGTCTTAGTTCAACAGTCGATACACTTTTTACGCCGCTGTCTAAAACAATGAGTCGTTCCAAACTTCATCAAACGAAGACGACTACACGACGCATGCAGACTACCAGAGGATAGTCACCGAGTATTGGACATCGAATTGCGAATACTACGCACCTGTCTACGAAGCCGACAAAACCAGATGTTCGCCAAATGGAAGAAGTGCGAGACGAAGGAAAACTTTTGTGGTCAATATTTGGAGGACCGCCTCTGGAGGAGAATAGTGGGCAGGTCAGTGTTGATTTGCAACTCTATTAGGTCTAATGCTAAAGTAACTTTGCGGAGAAAATTCGAAGACCTTTTGAGTAAATCACATAACAAAGCTTCAATAGCGCACAAAAATATCGCTAAGGAACATCAAACAGATCACAATAGGATAGGTAATGTGCAAGAAAATTCGAGGCTAACCGTGTTAGGAGGCATGACTCTCCCTGACGGTGCGCGCTCGTTATTAGAATTAGGGCCGAGTTTCTCACCATCGGAACCCATTTCTAAGATAACCTTGCGTAGCTTCGCTTGTGATTTACACGAACTTCAAGATAGACTCCGCAAAAAAGCTAGAGATGAAGCGCTAAATAGGTGCGATCAACATCAAATGGGGGCCCTACCAATAGCACCATTTCCCCCGACGTTTTTTAGACAACAAGAGCCCAATAATGAAGTTGATG